TAAAAGTTTAAACTTTTAAATAAAATGATAAAATAATGTTTAAAAAATTCCTGAACTCTGGTTGTAAAAATTAATAAAGAGAAATTAAACCTGAATAAAAAACATCCTCAGGATCTGACAGGAAGTGACCTGAGATGATTATAAAAAAATAAAAAATAAAACCCAACAGAACATTCGAGGTAAGAAACTCCAGGAGTTCAGATAAGTGCCTGGAAAACTAATGAGGAGGAGGAGAGGATGAAGATGAGGTGGAAGCAGAACTCTTAAGTCAGAAGATAAAAACTGATGAAGAGAAAATGGTTTGTTTTATAAGTTAGTTACTGAGAACTGATTCAAGATGGCCGCCACAGCTTCATGTCATCATCATCATCATCATTATTAATTATTATTATTATTATTATACACAGTTTGAGATAGAAAAAAAATCATAATTAAAACATTTTTGAATATTTTTAATAATTTTACGTTTTAACCTGATTAATTCCTCCAGCTTTGGTTCTCCAGGACCAGGAAGTCTCAGAAGTGGGACAGAGTCCTGGACCTGTCTTCGTTGAACCCAGAGGTTGTTCAGTTTGTCAGGACTGAGAGCTGAGGAGCGTGTGCAGCTGTTTTCAGGTGTTTATCTGCAGGAAACACACCCGTCTCCTGTTTCTGCTCAGGATTAAAACCAGCTGCTTTTATGCTCCAGAACCCTCCAAATGTGAGCCGAGTTTAATCCACCTGACCAGAGATTTGTTTTAAATTTAGGTTCAAACTGAACTCATTCATCAAGTTTCAGCCTTTTAGCATTAGCTGCTGACCTGAGAAACAGGAAGCAGATGAACTCAAGTCAGAATTTCAAAATTAAATAAAAACTGAGTCGAATTTCAAAATAAGATCTGAAAATAAGTTAAAAAAGAAACCGATCAGTTTTAACTGGCTTTTACCTACATTTAGCATTTCATCTTTTTAATACAAAGAAATTAAATGTATGTTTGGTTGTTCCTTCGTTCGTTCGGTCGGTCGGTCGTTCTGGTTCGTTTGTTCATTCGGTCGTTCCTTCGTTCATTCTAGTTCGATCGTTCGGTCGGTCGTTCGTTCTCATTCGGTTGTTCGTTTGGTCGGTCATTCGGTCTCGGTCGGTCTCGTTCGTTTGGTCGGTCGTTCTCGTTCATTTCTTCGTTCTCATTTGTTCGGTCGGTCGGTCATTCGTTCTTGTTCATTTATTCATTTGGTTGTTCCTTCATTCGTTCTTGTTCGGTCGGTCGTTCAGTCATTCGTTCTCGTTCGGTCGTTCGGTCGGTCGTTCATTGTCGGTCGGTCATTCGGTCTCATTCGTTTGTTCATTCGGTCATTCGTTCTCGTTCTTTTGTTCGGTCGGTCAGTCGGTCGTTCTCGTTCGTTTGTTCATTCGGTCATTCCTTCGTTCCTTCTCGTGCGGTCGGCCGTTCGGTCGGTCCTTCTCGTTCGGTCGTTCGTTTGTTCATTCGGTCGTTCGTTTGTTCTCGATCGGTCGTTCGTTCGTTCTCGGTCGTTCGTTCGTTCTCGTTAGTTTGTTCATTCGGTCGGTCGTTCGGTCGGTCATTCGATCGGTTGTTCGTTCTTGTTCGGTCGGTCGTTCGTTCTTGTTAGTTTGTTCGCTCGGTCATTCGTTCTCGTTCGTTTGTTCGTTCGGTCAGTCGGTCGGTCGTTCTCGTTCGTTTGTTCATTCGGTCGTTCCTTCGTTCCTTCTCGTTCGGTCGGTCGTTCGGTTGGTCGTTCTCGTTCGGTCGTTCGTTTGTTCTCGGTCGGTCGTTCGTTTGTTATCGGTCGGTCGGTCGTTCGGTCGGTCGTTCGTTCTTGTTCGGTCGGTCGTTCGGTCGTTCGTTCGGTCGGTCGTTCGTTCTCGTTCGGTCGTTCATTCTCGGTCGGTCGTTCGGTCTCTTTCATTTGTTCGGTCGGTCATTCATTCTCGGTCGTTCGGTCTCGTTTGTTTGTTCGGTCGGTCGTTCGTTCTCGTTCGGTCGTTCATTCTCGGTCGGTCGTTCGGTCTCTTTCATTTGTTCGGTCGGTCATTCATTCTCGGTCGGTCGGTCGTTCGTTCTCGTTTGTTTGTTCGGTCGGTCGTTCGTTCTCATTCGTTCGGTCTCATTCGTTCTCGTTCGTTTGTTCCTTCGGTTGGTCGTTCGTTCTCGTTTGTTTGTTTGTTCGTTCCGTCGTTATCGTTCGTTCGGTCTCGTTCATTTGGTCGTTCGGTCTCGTTTGTTTGTTCAGTCTCGTTCGTTCGTTTGGTCTCATTCATTTGGTCTCATTCGTTTGTTCGGTCGGTCGGTTGGTCGTTCAGTCTCGTTCGTTCGTCCATCCGTCAGTCAACAGGGTTTTTTCATGAAGCTGTTGGCTCCAGTTTGTATCTTGTTTCTTTCAGAAGCAGCAGCAGCACAGAACAAATGTGACTATCAGCAGCTGCTCCTGAAGGCAAACAAACAAACAAAAACAAATGGCTCAGATCAGCTGATCCGAGCAGAAAAATAAACTCTCCTCGGGTTTTTAACTGAACTTTAACAAAACTGAGTCGGATCAGAACCAATTCCTCGGCAGCTTGAAGCAGAAACAAACTCAGAACATTTCGAAGCAAACAGTGAGTCAGCAGATTTCACCTGCAGAAACTCACGAGTCATGAGCTGAGAGCTCCCAGCAGAACCAAACCTCTGGGTCTCAGTCAGAACCGAGTCCAGTCAGCCGATCCCAGTGAAGCAGTGCTGCAGGACTGGTTCCAACCTGAGACCAGGTTTTAGAATATTTCTGTCCTTCGAAATAAAACAAACGATTATTTGAACAAATGTTTCTGCCTGAACCAGAACCAGAACCAAGCAAAATCTAATCTGACTGAAAAGATAAATGCAGGATGTCAAACATGTCCTCCACACCTGCAGTCTCTGACGTCCTCTTTGTCTCCAACTTTCTATCCTCCTCTTCACTGATCCAACCTGAACAACAGATCACAGCTGTGTGTGTGTGTGTGTGGGGGGGGGGGGGGTGATTAGTTTTTTCATACAACGTGGGGAAATTTTTTCCAAAAAAAGCAGCCTCGTGGGGACCGAAATGAATCGTGGGGACCAATGCCCGGTCTCCACAGGTCCAAATGCAAATTACGGGTGTGGGGTTGGGTTTAGGACCAAGGTTTAGGTTAGTTTTAGGGTCAGGTAAGTACCTGTGAGGTTAGTTTAGGGTCAGGTAGGTACATGTGAGGTTAGTTTTAGGGTCAGGTAAGTACCTGTGAGGTTAATTTTAGGGTAAATGGTCAGTGTTAGGTTATAAAGTCAAAAAAAAAATGAATGGAAGTCATTGCACGGTCTCCACAGGGTTGAAGAACACACATGTGTGTGATAACCTGGTATTTATCAGTTGATCAGAGCTGGTGTGCAGCTGCAGGGAGCGTCACGGCTCCTGTAGCGTTAAATGAAGTTTGCAGAGTGTGAGGTGGAATCAATACAGCTCAATGTGAGAGCGAGAGCTTCTCTTCACACGTTCAGCCTGAAGCTGCTGCTGACAGAAGACAAATAAATGTTCTACAAACTCACATCTGAAGACATGATGGCTTTCAGAGAGGTGTTAACTGGGTTTCTACACAACCAACATGGCTCCTGTTTCCAGCTTTGATGCTAATCAACTCTCATTTGGATCAGAACCTCCTGAACTGAGGAGGACCGGCTTTGTTGAAAGTCATCAGCTGCAGGTTTGCGTCATTTTCAACTGCACTCGTAGGGTTTTTTGGGGTGCAGGTGTGTTACGAGGAGTAAAAATTTTACATCTCCGTTTGCCAAAACTACCTGAGCCCCAATTTTACTGTACACCACAGACGTTCACTATAACATCCTCATGACATTCACATACAGGGACTCGGGGGTGGGCACTCTTAATGCAAGGGGCAGGATGGAATACTCTTCCCACTGATGCCTGTGCCCACTCCCAGTTGTTGCTTGTAGACATTTAGGGTTTTGGTTAGTGCTGGGGTTGGAGGGGAAACTGGCAACGTGCTGGTCTCTGCCCCATCTTCTTCTCCTTTTTAATTACTGTACACTACAGAACAACAAGTTCAACAGCACATCTGAGGGTGGATGTGTGCGTCGGGGTCTTTTTCACTCCCCTGTTCCCCGATTGCCGTTTGGGGATGGGGTCCGGAGGAGGGGCGGACCATCTGGAGGGAGCCTGGGCTGTGGTTGGGCTCGGGGCCTGGGGGGGGG